AATTTTTATTATAAATTTTTTAAAATTTGGCGCTTTTTGCGGTAAAAAGTGGATGTCTTATGCTGTCCCGAACTGTATATATTTTTGGGCGTGGTAATTTATCGTCACATTAAAAAAAATCACGAGATTAGTTATTAAACAATGGCGTGATTTGATTGGTTAAAATCACATGAATGTTAACGTAAATATTTAAAAAAAAACAAAAAAAAAAAACATTTACGTATTTTACCGTATATTCTTTAAATCATGCCAAAAATTAGACACGCGCGGACCAAAAAACCTCCAGAAGGGTTCGAAGACATCGAGCCAACCTTGCTTGAGTTTGCTCGAAAAATGAAAGATGGCATGTTATAGTAGTTATTTTTGTCTTTTTTTCATGATTTTAGTGATCGTTTGAACTTAAACTTATTCCACAGCTGAGAACGAACCACACGAGGGAAAACGCCGTGTTGAATCTTTATGGCCCATTTTTCGGTTACATCATCAAAGATCACGTTACATTTACGATTTGTACTATAAGCGTGAAGCCATAACGAAAGAGGTGTACGAATATTGTATAAAACATGGGTATGCAGATGGAAATTTGATCGCAAAATGGAAAAAGGTATGATGTAGCTCTTTATCAAAAATAGGGATCAAAATATTTTGATGTATATAGATACTTATTGTTTATTCCTTTTTCATAAATTAGCCTGGATTTGAACGCCTTTGCTGCCTTCGATGCATCCAACCTAAAGATACAAATTTTGGTACAACATGTATTTGTCGTGTACCAAAGTCAAAACTGGAAGCAGGACGCATCGTCGAATGTGTTTTGTGTGGTTGCAGGTAAATATTAATCATTTAAAAGTTACCATATGGAAGCACATATATTGATTTTTTTTTTAATTCTATAGAGGCTGCTCGAGTACAGATTTCACATCTTCTAAAAAGGAAAAATCGAAACAAAAAATATTTGAAGAACAAAATCAGGATTCCTCGGCAAAGTTTCCAGAAACGCCATCATTAGATTTGTCATCTACGTTACCGTAAAATCTTGAAATAATTATCGAGATTTTACAGTACGCATCATTTTTCAATTAATGTGTTATTCGTAGATTTGAAATATATATCATTTTACAAATCTATATTGAGGTTTTTAATTTGATTAAAATTAGGAGACCAATATTAAACATTATAAATTGACCATTTTTATTAAATATTATGAATTGATTATTTTCTAATATATATATATATAGAGATGATGAATTTATTCTTTATCATGGGCGGGGAATCGGTATTTTGTCACCACAGAAAAATGTCCCTCGATATATAACTCTTGTAAACCCTATGAATTCTTGATCTGCCTTTTCATCATATTCGACTTCTGTGACAGTGAAATCGATTTTTTTCGTCCTAATATCGATTATACACATCAAATTCACAGGTAAAAATTTTGTTTTTGGATTGTATTATCACTAAAAAGACATCACATACCAAGAATTAAGGCAAGTGCAATAACAAATAAGATTATTGAGAATAAGAATAAGAAACATCAGACCGATCATAGTTAATTGAAAAATAATAAAATTGTTTAATTGCATGTAAGAATCAAATACTATTTATCTCTTCAATTTGTAACATAAAATAGTCCAACGCCGTAAATGGTAAAAGTAGAGGCTGAATCACGAAAAAACACGACCTATATTTATTATCAGTTATAAGAAATTAATAATATTATATATCATGTGATATTATGCTCAAATTATGTGGCGGGAAAATGAGTTATGAGTTTAAAAAAAATTGATTATAAATAGATAGCTAAAGTACCAAGTTATAAAGCTTCAAATGCAGAAGTAGATAGACTAGGGAAACATAAGGAAAAATGTTGACACCAATGGCAGATTTGAACGAGACTGAATATGGGCGTAAACCTCAAATTGGGAATTTAAGTACAGTATATTATTATTATTTGCTAATTCACCCGCTCAGACATTCCGGATCGCGGCTGAGTCTAACAAATAATAAATAAATTCCCAGTTCGAAGTTTTCCTTCAGCGTCACTTAATTGATAAGTTAACTTTATGGTATATTGAGAATGAGAAAGGAAATGATGAATGAATAAATATTTTTAAATAGATAATCATTTTTTATTTTTCATTTATAAATAATAGTATTTTAAGACACCTTATAAATAAAAATAATATATATTTTAAATTTTTCATAATAATAATTACAAATTACTCTGATTTTTTTTGAAAGGTATTAATTTTCAAACAAATCAGAATAATCGATCTCTATTACGAAAAAAATGGAATCACCATTTTTATCCCTACAAACAAATCTAAGTGGTTGATTTTTAAGTACCTTAGCCATACTAAATTTAATAAACATATCAGTATTCATTGTGGAAAAATTTGTAAAGTTATTAAAGAAATCAAACGCGTAAACTAAAGATGGGTCAAATACATGAGATTGACGAACGATAGGATTAAAAAAATAGTTTCTACGCTTTTTGGAATTAAGATTGACCTTTGTATCAGAAAAGATAAGACTAGTATCTTCACTTAGATGATTTTGACCATGATAAATCCAAGGATCCACGGGTAATAAAGAAGAATGATCACACGAAATTGTGGGAAATTCTGGTAATAAATCTTTCTTGAAAATGTCCATTTTTTCATCGTAATACGTATTTTTATTGTCATCTGCTTTCCAAACCTTCATAACATTCATCCCACAAACAAGCCAACTACCAGCCCAAGGTCTTTTCTCTAGAAACATGCCATCAGCGGTAAAACCTGGATCTATATATCTAGCAAATTTAACGACAAGAGAAGCGCCCATTGGTGGACTTATAGATCTTTCAGTTTCAGCGCAAAATAGTAAGTCATCAAAAGTCCATAAATGATCGGATCGATCGAAATTTGTTGGTTTAAACCGACCCTGAAACTGAAAAGAAAAGAAACGCCGATGATTCTCAAAATAAGAATTGGTTTCTATTATATTTTCGTTTTTATAATGATGGTTTCGTAATCGCACTGTTATATATCCAGTGAAATGTTCAGAATTGACGAGAAATGGATTTTGGTCATCGTTGACGTTGTATTTTTGGAGAGAAGAAAATGTTGGACCTATTCTGACGATAGGCATATTTTTTTTTTAAAAAAAAAAAAAAGAAAATGGACGGACGAGACCCGCTAATCCGTCAAAGAATCTATTTTACAAAAGACTAATAAGTCTGAGATTTATATACAGTATTTTTTTTATTGCTCTAAAAATAGTCTAGCAAAGATGCATGATATAATCTAAACGTGATATCGAATTGCAAAATTGTCCGAAGTAGAAATAAGGGAGCACAACCTGATTGTATATATAACGATAAATTTATATATGATTTTTATTAAGTGACTGCTGCGCATTAAGTAAAGTTGTCATTTTGAAAAATTTATATTAAAAAAAAAAACTTTTGAAACGTAACATACGTATAGTTTTTTTATATAAAGCCAATACCAATTACTTAACTTCAACATAATCGCGATCAACAAAAAAATTTACAGTAACGGTATAAAGTAAGGTTGGAACGTTCCATAGTTTCGGACGGAATCATTTTGGTCGTGGACCAGAATTATCTTAATGAATTAAACGAGTTAAATGATTTACATAGGCGGTTCCTAATCCCTAAGTTTGATTCACCACAAAGACAACGATAATACCCAATCACACGTAGTATTCTCTTGATATAGAAGTCTTTTTCCTCTCAGCCCGACTGACTTTACTATAATAAGAATTGCTTGTAAACCATATCGACATCTATATACGTATGTATCAAACGTTAATACAAACGAAAAAGGTAACATTGAAATTGGTATACATTTCACTAAATATATTTGCTTCACATGACTATACTTGTTGGACAAATCCCAAACCCTATCGCTATTATATAGCTATAATATATTTAATTTGTTTAAATAAATTATTAATAAAGTTTTTAAGATACGAGTTTGGCCAGAGTTTGGGATTTGGGCGCGCCCAAACCCAAACTATAATAGTTTGGAATTTTGCCAACATGTATACACATGACTGAACGACTTATCATAATCATATATCATTACTCGTTTGTTCAATTCAATTAGTTTCTTTTACCACGTGACGTCATTAATTCGTCTCATTACCAGAAGCTTTAACACTTGAAATTTCACCCGTAACTTTGTAGAACTTATCACAGAAAACAAAGTTACCAGCTGAATTTAAAAATTTTGTTTATATTGAATTGAATTATATCAATTTTATTTTTTGATTATAAAATCTAATTTTTTTATCAATTTCTAAAACATTCTCTAACTCACAAAGTTAATTACTGTACATATTATATATATGTTCGATATGTATATGTATATATATATTACTAATATTTTGCTATCTTATAAATTGAAATAATTTTAGAGCAATTCTTCTATAACCCAAATTATAGCTAAAATAATGCTAAAATAATTATTCAAAATGGCAACATTAACGATAATTTTTAAAAAATAAAAAATTTTACCATAATAATATTTGCTATACGTAGTCCCAAGATTTTTTTTTTTTTTTTTAAAAAAAAAAAATTTGTAGTATATTAATTCGATGATTATTGACTTTTAAGATCGGTTAAAAATTAATTGTGATGGTATTTTAATCAAAATAATACAACATGCTAGAAAAGATAATGAATTTTTGATGAAGAGAAAAGAGTTTAAAGTTTATTATAATACAAAGATGGAAAAGGATACACAAAGATCGAAGTTTAGAAAGTCAGATATTTTGTATTTGATCATGAACATACAGTCAAAAGAGTGTTTCGATTTGACGTACTTGTAAGGTAGACAAAGGTTTTTCGAACTATACATAAATACATATAATTATATATATTAAAATATAGTATTGTATGTAAAAGGATTTTTTGATGATGAATGTCGTCTTTGTTATGAAATTGGCATATTTATATATCTTGCTCTCATTAATTCTTCAATCCAATCCATATTTCCACAACTCATAACTCTTTTCATATTTTCGCCATCCCTAATATAATCCCATTTCGTTACTGCATAATTCAATGCTGCCTCTTTTAAACGTGCGTCTCCAACTTCCCAAGCCAACATCAGAATCTCATCCCAATTATCCCCATTAACCATATCTGCAATACGATCTGCTGCCATTTCCCCAAATTTTTCAAGATTTAACATATCTGCCTTTGAATAAACATCCTTTAAAACATTAAATTGTAATCCCTCCTCTAGTTTGCCCGTATATAGATAATATAATATAGATCGAAATGTTGTATATTCCATATGTTTTATAGGTATTGTCTTCATTTGTCCTTCTTTCCACTTATCTCCTAATAATTTTTCAAAGTAAGTGGATCTTGTAGCCAGGATTACTCGATGTGCTTTAATATTTGAACCACAGTCGAAGGTAAATTCCACATCACTGAATTTTCCATCATCTAAATGTTGCTTAAATGAAGGAAATTCATCAACGTGTTCAACTGGTTCATCCGTTGAACCCGTAGGTGATGAAGAATTGAATATTTGAACCCTCACAAGTAAATCAATTTCTGCTGTAGTATCACTATTCGGGAATAAATTTTCAAATGAACAGAAGCGATGCCGGCCAAAATCATCTAGTCCGTCAAATTCAAATTTCATTGTGAAGGTCTCCTCGCGAATCAAATGGGAGATTGTTGACGAAGGTGATGTTGGATCTGAAGAGAGCCGAAACACCTCTAATTTGAATGTTTTTTCTCTGCACGTTATGTTCGACTGTTTTTCGTATGGAGTTTGAATAGCGACTAAATATAAAGATATATGTGTTTTTGCTGCTTCATTAACACCATTAGGATATAATTTGATTCGCCATAAAAAAGGTTGATCATTTTGTTTGTTCTTTATGGAAGAATCGTTCGTTAGTGGCGGACGTGGTGACCAGAATCTGTCGCTCAAAACAAAACCAGTATTTGGATAAAAGGTGACCAAATCATTAAACCCTCTGATCGTCCAAGAATAGGTGAAATGGCTCAGAGCATGTTTAGAAGGTTGTCGCGTTGCCTGGTCTGTAGTCATATCACGAGTGTCGTTACTTCTGACAGGAGCCGAAGATCCACTTTCCCTATGTTGTCGTGGCCGCGAACGGATAAACCGTTTTCTGATTGTCAAAGGGGGCATATTATATATATATGACAGAAAAGAGAGATTGTCAGAAAAGCATTATATATGTTTTTTTTTTATATTTTCAAGGTAAAAAAAAACACAAGATGGTAATTAAAAAAAGGCAACAAAAAAAAAAAAAAACAAAAAAAAAAAAACAAGATTTTAAGTAATAAGTTTATAATAGGTTAACCACTTTAAGGAATACGCCAGTTACATACAATGAGAATTTGTTGGGCATCAAGAAACTACTCGCGAGTATGGCGAAGAAAATATCATGAAAGAAACATATGTTAAGATAAGTACAAATGATGACTTCATTATCGATCGACAAATTCATCTCTTAATTCATAAGTAATATCAATTAAGTGATCTGCATACCTAACGCTAATGAAAAATTTCAGAATATACAGCTTTACAACAATGTTATAGCCAGTGCACAGTTAGCTTTGACAGTTGACGAAAGTCTATATTGGTTAAAATTCTTATTTATGCAGAAGCAAATTTTACTTAAAAACATTTTTATGTTCACACACATATGTATTATATATAGTGTATAAATTGGCATATTGGTACTTACATATTAAAAAATTTGTTTTACAGTACTTATTTGTTACTTTATTTGTTAGAGATTTTTTTTTTTTTTTGTAATTAAGGTAATCTTTTTGGTCCGTGATTTTTATTAGTATACACATACGATATACGTACATACAGGTCTTACGATACGTATATGTTAATTTACAAAAATAATAGTACAAATAGTCATATTTTTATAATCAACTGGTCAAACTCTTCTATATGTATATTATTTACAATATTTGTTACGTATACTATTATCACTAGATTTAACAAATAAAAATGTTTTCAATAATACCATAAAAAATAAGCAGCACTTACAGTGAATTGGTTTATAAGTACACTTGTAGTATCGAGTACATCCTCTAAAGATTAATCAATCACAGAATCAGCATATTATTGATTTTTAAATAACCAGTGAATACGCACCCCTATTAAAAAAATGTGCTTATTTTCCGAGTTTTACGGTATATATAGTATAGTTGTTATTACCAAAATGTAATATTACTACGTACTAGACTTAACAAATAAAAAAAAAGATTTTATTGTTACGTACGTATTGGTTCTCATAACCCGGCCGGGTCAAATTTCGCAAAATTCTTAAAAAATTTTTTGACTGTATTTACTATCCGGGTGAAGTTTTTTTAGAAGTTTATAAAATTTTTATATGTTTTTTATATATAATAATTTTTTGAAAATAAAATTAAAAGCCGGGTTGCTGGGTCATTTTTCAAATTTTATGTTATGAGAACCAAAAAATTAACTCTGTATGGCCTTTACTTAATATATTAAATAATTAAAAAATATATATCGATATATATAGTACGTATATTTGAATCAAAAAAATGAAAAAAAAGTCAATAAAGATGCTTACAAGCAAAATAAAAAAAAATATAATTTAAAATTAGTTAATAAAATAATAATTTTTTTTAATTTAAATAAGGCCATACAAAGTTAACTTTTTGGTTCTCATAACATAAAATTTGAAAAATGACCCGGCAATCTGGCTTTTAATTTTATTTTCAAAAAATTATTATATATAAAAAACATATAAAAATTTTATAAATTTTTAAAAAAACTTCACCGGATAGTAAATACAGTCAAAAATTTTTTTAAGAATTTTGCGAAATTTGATCCGGCAGGGTTATGAGAACCAATTTATTAAGTTGTATGGTCTAATAATAATAATAATAAAATAAATTTCTGTAGTTGAAAAAAAATTGTTTTTACAAGTTTACTAAATTACACTAGTGGTATTTAATACAGTATTATATATTTTTTAATAGTTTTTTTAGTAAAATTTAAGGTTAGAAAACCTAAACTATAGTAAAGATATAGTTTTAAATTTTAGTTAAGATAAGGGTATTAAACATTTTTGCTTAGTATTTTTAATATATTTTAAAAATATAGTAACTATAATATTAAATTCTATTAATAGGCAAATCATGAGTCACCTAAACAAATATTTTTTTTTTATATATATAAATTTTACTATAAGCCTGAATGTGCAGTGCTTCTATCTAAAACTTTTTTTTACTAAGTAAATCACTCTT